CCGCCGGCCCCGCCGCCCTCGCCGCCCACGCGGCCTGCGCCCCGGCCGGCACCGCGGCCGCGACCGCGCCCCGCCAGGGCGACGCCCTGCGCCGCGAGCCTCCGCACCTCGGCGTCCCTCGCGCCGGCCGACGAGCTCGCCATGCAGTCCTCGAACGCGCGCTCGTCCCGGGCCCCCGCGCCGCCGCGCTCCTCATCGCCGGACTCCCCGCCGCCCTCGGACCCGCTGCCGCCGCTGACGAGCTCCCAGCTGCCGCCGCAGCCGCCGTCCCCAGCGCCGCCCCCCTCGGCGCCACCGCCGTCGGCATGAGTCAGCCAAAGGAAGTCGCCGATGGGCAACGTGGAACGCTCTACCTCGATCTGTGGCACAAGGTGTGGGAGGGAGTACCGGCAGCGTCAGTCAGGTAAAGCGCAGCCCTGCTGATCAGGGAGTTGCCATGCTGCTGCCAGGGCCGGCCGATGGGCCAAGCGGCGCGGAGCAAGGCGATGCGAGCCCAGAGCCGGCGCACCACTTGCCGCCGGGGTGCGGGTGCGCCCCCAAGCAGGTGCGCACGCCCCACCCGAGGCCCCTCCCCCCCCAGCCCTCACCGTCATGCCGGGCGGCAGGGGCCCTGTGAGCTCTGGCACCACCTGGCGCCTCAGCTGAAGGTAGATGCTGTTGGGGTCAGAGTTGATCCGCCGCTCCCGCTCATCCACCACCAGCATCAACTCAGACGCCGGGACCGCCACCACAGAACCGCCGCCGCGCCGCCCTCCGCCGCGGCGCGGGCCGTCACTGCTGACAGCGTGCGGCAGCGGCGGCGGAGGTGGCGGCATGGCCGCGGCGGCGTCGAGCCAGTCCTCCTCTGCAGGCTGCGACTCGAATAGGTCAACCACCTCTCTGTGCGACACCTCCCGCGCGTCGCCGCGCGCGCCGCCGGCGAGCGCGCCGCCGTGCCCGCCGCCGCCGCCCAGCCCGCCGCGAGGCCCTCTGGGGGCGGTGGGTTCCGTGGCTGCGCCCTGCGGCTCCAGCAGGCTGGTGGTGAGATAGTTACCATAGTCCTCCCGAGGCTGCGACTCCAGCAGATCTATGACGTCCGCAGCTGTCGTCTGCGCGCGTCCACCTCGGCTGCCGCCGCCTGCGCCCGCGCCCGCACCCCGCCCGTCGAGCGCGCGGCGCGGCGGCTGCGCCGGTGACGGCTGCTGCGTGCCGCGGCTGCTGCAGCGTGCCGCGCCATCCTCCTCATCGCTGTCCCCCAAGGCTGTCAGATCCCAAAGATCCAGTTGGGCGCTGGATTGCCGCTGCCGGGGGGGCTCGGCTGTTGCAGGGACGGCAGATGCTGCTGCAGGCACCTCCTGGCGCTGCCGCCGCTGCTCCTTCGCCAATTGCTGCTGCTGTTCCTGCTGCTGCTGCTGCTGCTGCTGCTCGCGCTGCTGCTCCACGCGACGCATGGCGGCCTCAGCTGCCAACACACCGGGTGTGACGCCACCCCGCCCGATCACCGGCGGCCCTGCGCCACCAAGCTGCCGCCCTGCGGCAGCCGTCCCTGCCGACCCAGGCGGCCCCCCAAGATCCTGCAGGAGCGCCCCGCCGGGCTCCCCTTTCAAGCTCATCCTGCCGCCGGCGGCGCTGCTGCCACCACGGGTAGCGCTAGGGGCGGCGCCGCTGCCAAGGAGGCCTCCCAGCTGGCCTTCGCCGCCGTCGCCTTCGCTGCCGCTGCCACCGCCGCCCTCGATCCCCTCCAGCAGCCCGCCGCCCCCATCAAACAGCGACACTGGGCCCCTGCTGCCAGCGCCAGCCCTCGCACTGGAGCCGGCCTCGGTGCCCGCAGCGCCGCCACGCGCGGCCGCAACTGTCTGCTGCATTTCGCTGCCCTCCGTCCGCCGCCGCTTGGGCGGGGGCGGCTGCTGCTCAAGAACATCCCGCAGAGCCTGCAAAGGGTCGTGGCGCGGCGCCAGTGCCTGCGGCAGCCCCGCCTGCCGCCTGAGCGCGCCCGCGCCGCCTGCGTGCGCCTGCGCGGCCGACGGCGGCGCGCCACCGCCGTCGTCGCCGCCGGCGTCGCTGCCGCCACCGTTGCCGCCGGCCGTGGCACCATGCGCCGCTTCGGCGTCCCAGGTGGGCGCGGGGCCGCTGTGCCGCAGCACCAGGCGGTGCCGCCTGGCCTCCTCTGCGCATTAGTGCAGCGTGGCCATCAAGAGCAAAGCGTTTGATTCAGATGCGACAGGTCACTCCACAGGTCCAAGGCATTGATACCCGCCTCCCATATTTCCCTTTGTATCGCAAGCAAAATTGCCTCACACCATTCTCATGCGCATGCCGCCGCCAGTCAACCCACCGTGGGCCTCCAAGGAGAGGCTGTACCCGCCCCCCTCCTCAGTGTTGAGGTGCTGCGCCACCCGCTGCACGTGCTGCAGCCGCTGCTTGCTGCCCAGCGCCAGCACGACCTGCCCCTCCGCGCCGCCCCGCAGCCAGCCCGCCAGGACGCCGCAGTCGTCGCAGTCTGTCCGGCACAGCGGCTTCCGTAGCGGCTGCCTGCCGCCGCCACCGCCGCCACCGCCCCTCCCGCGGCCGCGGCCGCGGCCGGCGGGCGTCTGCAGAAGGTCTGCCAGGTCAGCGGCATCCAAATCCCAGGCAGGCCGTCCGCCGCCGCGGCCGCCGCCCGCTCCCCCCGCCGCCTCTCCAGCCGCCCCCGCGCCCGACGCCGGCCGCTTGCGCGCCGCCGCGGCCGTCGCAAGGGCGGGCGTCTTGAGGGCGGCGCGGCTGCTCTCCAGTATCGCGCGCTGCAGATCCAGCTCCTCGCGCGACAAGCCGGCCGCGGCCGCGATCGCCGCGGCCTCGTCATCATCACTAGGCACATCGCCTGTACAACCCATGCCCCTGACGTCTGCGTCGCTGCCGCCCTCCTCGTCCCCCTCGCTCCAGCCGAACAGACCAGGTTGCCTGTTGGGTGCCCCGCCACTGTCACCGCCGAGCCGCCGGCCTTGCCCCGTGAACGGCGATGTGGACGCGCTTGGCCCGGCGCCCCCGCCGCCGCCCGCGCCCTCGGCGCCCTCCGGCCGCTGCGGGCCCGCCGCCGCCGGCGAGGCTGCAGCTGCAGCCCACGCGCCCTCCCCTCCCTCCTCCGACCGCTCCCCGCCAAGACCCGCCACGCCGCCGCCGCCACTGCCGCCGCCGCCGCCGCCGCCGAGCGCGACGCCTGCATCCCGCGCCGCGGCCGCCACCGCCGGCCTGCCCCCGGCGGTCCGCTCAACCAGCTCGGCCGCCACGCGCCGCCCCTTGTCCGTCAGCTGAAACTCGTCCTTCTTCACGCCGAACTGCCCGCCCTGGCGGGACAGCTTGTCGCGGTGGACCAGCTTGTTGCCCTCCAGGGTCTTGATGTTTGCCCAGCCGCTGTAACCGTGCTGGGTCTGGCGCCGGCAAAATGCGGCCAGGGCCGGACAGGGCACAGGGGGTGGCATCAGGTCGGATGAATTTGCGGCTGTGGCGCGGCAAGGCATGCAGATTTGCAGTGCAGTCACCAGGGATGAAACCTGCCGCCCATCCAGCGCCCTGCAGCTCGCCAGCAGCGGCGCGTAGCCTCATCAGCCCCGCAGCCGCGCCGCGAAGCGCACCGCTCGGCCCCCTTCTGCCTGACCCCGCCGCATGGCAAGCCAGCAGGCCCATGCGCCCCGCCGCGGGCCCCGCCGCGCCCCATGCGCCGTCCCCCGGCCCCGCATGCATGCGTGCGCGCGCCATGCGCCCAGCCACACACCTTTGGATCCATTACAACGTTTGGGTTGCAGAACCGCTGCGCCGCCGCACAGATCTGCGGGATCTGCATGCTGCCCCCGGCCGCGCCCCGCCGCCGCTCCCCGAAGAACAGCGCCAGCAGAATAGCGAAGCCGCCGCTGCCGTCGGCGGGCGCGTAGCCCCGGAGGGCGGGGCGCTGCGCCGCGTTGGAGAGGCGCTGCGCGCTGGGCGGCGAGACCTCTGCAGGTTTAAGGCCGGACAGGACGGCCTCGATCTCTTTGGCTATCGGGATCGTGATGAGCTTGGGCACATACCTGCAGGGTGTGCGTGCGGGGTGGGGGCGGGCAGCAGGGTCGGGTGGAGTAGGGCTGGGTGTGACCCAATGGGGGCATCACTGCAGTGTTGGCGCCAGCAGCTGGCAAGGGCTTGATGGGGTGCCGGTACTAGACTGCTCGCTGAAGGGCCCAGCAATGCGGGCGGCCTGCAGCCTAGCGGGCGGGCCTTACGGCGTTTGGATGGCGGCGGCCAGGGCGCAGCAGGCCGCACGCACCTGGCAATGTCCGCATTGCCGTAGATATTGCCACGGTGGGCCCTGACGGTTTCGATGGCCTTCTGATACTGAAACTGCGACTGCATCCGCAGCGCCTCGCACCTGGCGCGCCGGCTCTCCAGCGCCTGCGGCCCGGCAAGCGCAGCGGGGCTTGTTTGTGCGCTGACGCAGCACCGTTGTGGATCGCGCGAAAAGCGTACGCCACATTCAACAGGCTTGGGCACTCCTGCAACCATCAACCTCTGCGGCTATTGCTCACCTGCAGAATGAGCTCATTTTTGGGCTCCTGCCTGGCCCGCGGAGGCATGTCGCTGCGCGCTACTGCTCAACACTGCTGGGCGCTGCGCGAGCGGGGCTGGAAGTCCGAGGCGCTGTTGCGCCGTTGAGCATGAAGTCTACAAATATGCAACGGGTCTAAGCCCTATGACGCTTACGTTGGGGTAAGTCGCGTGGAAGGTCCATGTCGTGGCACGAAGTGTTGCCATCAGATCGTCGCACCGGCATACAGGGCTCCTCCGGCACTTTGATTCAGGCTCAAGGTGCGGAGCCCGCCTGGTGACTCCTCACTGACTCGAACACACCGGTGACTGGCCGCGGTGCCGCCGTGCTGATTGTGCTTCGCTTGAAATCTTGCCTGCATGTGCATCTGTGAAACGTGGGCGGCTTCATATGATGCTTTCAGATATCTTATCCACACAAATGTCACCTAGGCAGGTCCGCCAGCAGCGCACATGCAGTTGACATCGCCACAGGGAGGTTGGTTCGTTTTAGCGGATGGTTTTCGTTAAGCACGCAATGCGCTGGCTTTTCCCTGCGGACCTGGCAAGTCTGTGTGTTGGTTTGTTTCAAGAGCAAATGAGGCTCAGGGAACGAGCTGTGCGACTGCTTGTGAATCACCAGCCGGCGAAGTCAACATGGCAGCATTACAGCATGCAGCCCACGACTCTGTGGGTAGTCGTCACAAACATTTCGGCCTTTGCCATCAGCAAGCAAAGCTGGCACGATGCATTCCCACAAGCGCCTTTTCGCTGTGTTAGTCGTCCTCAATTCAGCCGGCTCTCGCCCGCCCCTTGGAATACGCTCTCCGCACGGGCACTGAACCAAACCACAGAACTTTGCCATGTGACGCCATGCCTGTGTTGATGCTTGCCTGCCTGGCAAGAGGTGATCACGTCTGAAGGTCTGCGATTGATGTTAAGTTGCATACGGTAGTACGCACGAACCGATGACAATCTGCACCACCACCGGCCAGACCACCGCCACACATGCCATCGCAGGTTCACTGCTCAATGGGGTTGTGTTGATTTCAAATGCACACGATGCGCCGCACTTGGACCAGCACCTGAAATGCCTTGATAACCTTGATGATGACCCGGCAGGCTGCACGTGCTCCGCTCGCGCTGGTGTGCCACACCCACGCCGGCATCAAGGGAGCTGGAGCATAAGCGACACGCGGCAGTACAATAGTCTGTCCTTCCTGATACTGTTCACCTACGCTTTAGAACCACGTGTATGGATCCTTCCATCCAAGGCCCGTGCCGTATTGCTGCTCTTGCCACACCTGTGCCACACTGGCGCTTCCGCCCCTCCACATCCCCGTCGGCGCCCGGCGCCCGCAACGAACCCGCATCACCCGAGTGCAACGCCCTCTTTCCTGACAGCACCTAGAGGTCATACACGCGCTGTCAGAAGCGCCGTAGAGGTCAAGATGGTGCGCTATTCCGCCGGTGGCGTCAATGAGACGAAGAGCGCCAAGGTGAGCGTGATGAGGTGGTGAAACTATAGCCATGAATGTTCTGCAAACGTGGCTGAGTCGCGGGGCCGACCAGCAGGCTGGCCGCCAACGCCGATCTGCCGGGCGCCCTGGGCCATGCTGCATCCCTTATCAACGTGATGCGAGGTGTCTGGTTGCTGTGAAGAGAGTCTGGAGGCGTGTGGGGGTCCCAGGCCGAGTTGCTGCTGCAGTGTGTGCTGCAGGTGGTGCACTCGCTGCTGCAGCAGGCCGCGCACAGGTCGTGCTGCACGCGTTCGAGCATTTAAGCACGAAGACGCTGACGCGAAGCGCGTACGCCTCGAACCCACAGGCTGCGGGGCGCGACCTGCGTGTTCACTTCAAGAACACCCGGGAGACCGCCTTTTCCCTGCGCAAGATGGACCTGGGCAAGGCCAAGGCTTACCTGAAGGCCGTGGTGGAGCGGAAGAGGTGCATCCCCTTCCACCGCTACACCGGGTGCATCGGCCGCACGGCGCAGGCCAAGAACGAGGGCAGCACGACCCGCCAGGGCCGCTGGCCTGTCAAGTCGTGCGAGTTCCTGCTCAACCTGCTGACCAACGCCGAGAGCAACGCTGAGGTGTGGAGCGGGCGGGGGGAATGGCGGAGGGCGCCTTAGAGGAACAGGGGTACCGGTGTGGTGGAGATCAGGTTTTGCCTGCGTGCGTGGCGGTTGCTGCATCGGCGGTTCCTTAGCGCACGGTGCAGACGGCATTGGAGAGCTGCTTTTTGGCCTGTTGTGAAAGAGCATTCAGACAGGAAGAGCAGCACTGCCGAGGGTGTGGCGGTGGCGTCAGGCTGCCGCCCAGCAGGCGGCGGCTGGCCACGATCAGTCCGCGGCGGCTGTGCGGGCGGGCATATGCAGGCGATTTCAGCAAACCGGCATGTGCGGCTAGCAGTACGGACACGGCTTGGGAATACCCCTGTACAACAGCAGCCAGCCGCAGCAGTAGCAGCAGTCGGTGTCCAGCTGTCTTTTGCGCGGCTTGCGCCGCACATGCGGCGGGCTATCCGCAAATGTGGCGGCAGCGGGTCACAACAGTGTGTCACCAGCAAGTGCAGCGTCGAGGGCAGCTGGAGGACGTTGCGAGAACGCCGCTGTTTGGCCGCCATGCAGGCCCTCAGCAGTCGCGCGTTGCTGAAAAGTGCAGCCACCGCTGCAGCGAGGCAGCTGCACTCTATTGAGCAGCCAATCGCAGCGGATCACGTCAGTCACGTCACAATTCTCACATTGTGCAATGTTTGTGAAACTCAATTTCAAGCAGGCGGCTGGCAGCCAAGCTGGCCAGCTCGTACTTGCTGGCAGGGGCTGTGCAGCACTTGTTGCTGGCAGCGCAGGACAAGAAACACGGCGGTTGCGGTTCCGTAACACGGTGGTTGTCACAAACGCAGCAGATCAGCCATCAGCAACGCCGCCGCAGAGAGCGGCGGCGCAGAGCCAGCCGCACACGCGCACCCCCTCTTTGTGTGCTGCCGTGCCCTTGCAAACCTTCGTCCTGACGCGCATCCGCCTCTCCTCTTGCCCCTGTTCACCCCCAGACCAAGGGCCTGGACGTGGACTCCCTGTTCATCAGCCACATCCAGGTCAACAAGGCCATGGCTCAGCGCCGCCGCACGTACCGCGCGCACGGCCGCATCAACCCCTACATGAGCAGCCCCTGCCACGTGGAGCTCATCCTCAGCGAGAAGGAGCAGGCCGTCAAGGCCGAGGGGGTGAGGCGCCTCTGGGCTGAATGGGGGGTCGTTGCATGGGAGCGGATGCTGTGATTGCTGAAGCCTCGCCGCAAGACCCTTAAGATGTGTGCTGGCAAGGGTCCCAGGTCGACAGCTGCTGTGTTTTCGCGCGAGCATATGGCAGTCGTTGGTCAGATGCAGCTTGCCCGGACCTCTCCGTGCTCATCCCCCCCCCCCCTTGTGTGCTCGCCTGCAACGTGCCAATCCTGGACAGGAGGACAAGGGGCGCAAGCTGTCCAAGGTGCAGGCGGCCAAGAAGCTGCGCAGCGGCTCCAAGAGCGCCTAGGCGTCTGATGGAGACCCTGCTGGCCACTTGTAACACTGCGCAGTACTTTGGAGAGCGCCGGCAGCTGGCCAGCACTTTGGTGGCTGGATGGGCTTGGCTTGAGTGCAGATGAGTTGAAAGGACTTGATGGCAGTTGGGCAAGGCAGCAGTGTCGCTCCGACTCAGAGGTCGACAATGGGTTGCGCAGAAGGGTAAAATGCGCACACCAGTTGAGTTGTCAAGGACAGGCCCTGCAGTTGACACCACAGTGGAATCGTCAAGGACAGGCCCTTCACCTGACAAGCTGCTTGCAGTGGGCAGATACCAAATAGAAAAACGGGAAAAATGGGAAACGTCAGAACACCAGCAACACCGCTCGCTTCAAGCCCGCACGCACACACGGCCTCCGGCCCTCTCAACCTCGGCGGCCCAGAGCGCAGCACCCACGCTGTTGCTGAGCCCGAGGACATAACTCAGCAACGGCAGCTGCGCAAGCAGAGCTGCTGTCATGCCAAAAGACCTGACGGGTGGAACATCAGTGGTTGGTAAACAGCATGGTGCAGCATGCATTGTGACTGGGTGCAGCAAGCAGGCCCTAGACAACAAGAGCGCAGCATGGGAAAACACGCTCGCGTCCCAGCGCCTCACCTGTACTCTGCAGCCCGCATTTCTGCCACCAGCGCCTGCCGAACAAAGGCATTTGTGCGGCGGTTTGCCAACGCGTTGAAACACACTCGGCGCATGCGGCTCCCCCCCTCCACTGCGCCACAGCCCCTTCGAGGGTCGCACAGGCGCACAAGTTGCTCGTAGCCCTGCGGTAGCGTGCACCCTCACCTGTGCGTCGCGGCCGCGGACACCCTTGCGGTTGAGGTAGCGTCCAAAGTGCTCCTCAGCCTCGGCCCTCGCCTCGCACAGCAGCCACAGCGGCAGGGAGACAGGCACCAGCAGCTTCATGGGCGTCGCCAGGCACAACCTGCGATGTCAGGCAGGATGGGATTTATGCGATTGGATACAAACAAGGGCCGGCAGCACAAGCATTGTCCTTCCCACGGTGGATGTCTCCTGGCGCGCAGGCCGCTTGGCCATGTAGTTGCTGCTTGGCCCTGACCCGGGCTGCTGCATCACACCTGGCCAGCTTGATACCCTTGGCCTCCCCAGGCGATGGGAACAGCAGCGCCTTGGTCAATCGCAAGGCCGCAGCCACTGACATCCAGCTGCTTACACCGCCGCCACCCGCTTCTCGCTGCTGCCGCTTGTCACCCTCCCGTCGCTGCCGCCGCTCAAGTGCCGCCAGTGTGAGCGCCGCCGAGTCCGCTTGCCCCACGGCGGCTGGGGATGCGCCGCAGGCGGCGAGCGTGATGTCGAACAGTCGCTGCTTCAGGCGGTCAAACTGGTGGTCAAATACCAGCCACACAGGCAGCGCACTCTCTGCAAGCACAGCTAGGGACGCAGTCAACCTGCAGGCCCAGCTGGCACAGGTGCCCTGGAAAAGCCATGCCAGGAGCCTGATGTGCGGCCCATAGGACAGCCGCCACCAAACCTGCACCAGGAGAAGAGGACGGGGTGCTGCAAATCAGGGCTAGTTTTAGCAACCATGTCCATGACATTGTTGCTACCCTTTAATCTGGCCCATTGTCCCAGGCTTTATTGCGCACCAGAACCGCGAGAAGAGAGGAGCCGATGACTGCGGCGAGGAAGCGCCCGAGCTGCTGCAACATCGCCGGGGATGTCGCCAGCATCACTATTCCGCGTATTGGATACGTCCATGCCAATAGTGCCCCCATACTGGTGGCTCGCTGTCTCGCCCCTGCTGACTGGTGAGGGGAGTCAGGGAGCTCGCTGCGCTGCGAAGCAACAGCCGAAGCTTGCCTACGCCACGCTTGCAACTGCCAAATCAGTGACAGAGCTCAATCAATATGTGATATGCAACGCTTACTGTAGATTTGATGCCTCTGAATTGCAGCCAACACCCTTGAAACGATTGTGTGTATGTGCATGGTGTTTGCGAGATCGCTCTTGAGCCTCGGAGCCAGGTGGCTCATAGCAAATATAGTTCGACGCGTGAACTGAGCATACGAGATGGATCTGTCTTCAAACGTTGCTGCCACAGATGACACACCACTAGCTCAGCGTGTCACTACGGCACTGTGGCGCATTGGCCGCGAAACCGTGGGGAACATGCATGATTCTTGTGATGCGAAGCACGCGCTGTACGCAAACACAGCTGTTTACATTGCCGCTTGAATTTTCGCACGACGCCTCAAAGCCCGCTCATCACACACAACAGCAGTGCGCGTCGTAGCGCTCCGCCGCCGCCCGCTTGCTCTTGGTAGCACATCGCAAACCAGCAGTCATGTCAGTCAACGTAGTTCTCGGTGCGGGCGGCCCTACCGGGCAGGAGTGTGTCAAGCGCTTGCTTGAGGCCACAAGCGAGAAGGTACGCACTTGGCTGCTTGTGATGGGCCTCGCGCATGAGTGGTTGGCGGTCTGGCTTTACCGCTGCTCCTTCAAGCATTGTGGCTGTCGACGTACCAAGCTTGCAGTCCTACAGCTATCCTTGCCAGCCTGCTGCCGGGGCCGGCCGCTTTCTGGCCAACGCTGCACACACCAGCTGCTTCCTTCTGCTTAGCATACTGCAAGCAGAAGCCCCGCGCTGTTTGCCCGGAACCTTCTAACAACCCTCTTCTTCTGCACACTACCTACAGGTCCGCGCCGTTGTGCGCAACCCCTCAAAGTATGCTGATGTGTTTTCCAAGAGTGACCGGCTGGAAGTGGTGGCGGGTGATGTCACTGACGAGTCCAGCCTCAGGACAGCTCTCGAGGTGGGTGTGTGGGGGTATGTGTCACAGCGTCAGGGCAGGGTTTGCACGGTGGTTTAATTACCGACCCTTTTGGGTTGTCAGCGAGGGACAAGTGGCAGCTGCAGGGCACAAGTATTGGGCAAGGTGTGTGCATGGTTGTCGGGCGTCCAAAGGCGGCAACAGGTAAGTTGCCCCGTTGCAGCTGCACTGTTGACGTCCGCCATGCGGCACACCACCTGTCCCTCCCTGCTTCTCTCATGAGATCGTCCCTCGACCTTATGCTTATGCGCAGGGCGCCAAGGGCGTGATTTTCGCAGCCTCGGGCGTGGGCTACTGGAGCGCCAAGCCGGTGGACTACGAGGTGCGGGGCGCTGGGATCGCTCAGCAGCAGAGGGGTTGGCGCCGCCCGGTGTTGGCAAACAACTTTAAACCAGCGGCCGGCTGATGAACGCGTTTACTACGCAGCCAGTGTGCTGGGGCCGCCTGGCATCGCGCTTTCGCTCCCTCCACACTGTCGTTGACGGACTGCCGGCCGCCCGACCGAGCGTTTTATTGGCAGCAGGCCGATTGTCGCCCCGCACCTCCCCCCTGTCACCCTGACCCCCACTCCAAGGGCGTCGTCAAGACCGCCGCGGCGGCCAAGGCGGCCGGCACGGTGGGCCGCGTCGTGGTGGTCAGCTCGATGATGACTGACCCCGCCAACCGGTGGCACCCGGTGCGCATCCTGCTCAACAACATCAGGTACTCCCTGATGGACTACAAGTACAAGGGTGGGTGGTGACGTCAGCGGGACGGGGCGCCTCTGCGAGGTTGCAGGGTGCTTTCAAAAGGGGTTGAGCGGGCATGGTTTCGAGGCGTCAAGGGGGGGGAGGCATTGCGGGGCGAGTGGTTGCATGAGTGGTTGCACGATTGCTGATTCGGCGTGGGGTTGAGCGAGTGCACCTCTCCGCCACAACTGCCCTGCCACAATTGCCAGGACGGGGTCACTCTAGCACGCTCATATGGGCACATCATTATCCCAAGTGCAGGCGAGGAGGCCCTGCGCAACAGCGGTGTGAGTTGGACGATTGTGCGGCCGGGCGGACTCACCAAAGGCGAGCGCGGGAAGAGCATCATCACTGCCGGTGAGTTGTGTCACCAACGCGGCTGCAGGGCGCCCTTTCTGACCTCTGATGCCGATGAAGGCAAGGCGCAGAAGGCCGGGGGTGTTCAGGGCACAGCAATTGCAGGCATTGCATGGGCCACGAACGCACCGGCCTTGTCTGTTTGTGGGCCCAGCCCACCTGCAGCCATCGAAGCGCGACATCTGCGTTGACGCTGCCCTCGATGTCGCTCGACGGCCCCACTGCAGTCAAGGACGTAACGAAGGAGGTGGGCATGGGCTCCATCAGCCGTGCAGACGTGGCAGCAATCAGTGTCGAGGCCCTCACAAACCCCAAGGCCGCCAACGCCAAGTTCTCTGTCTTCTGCAAGAAGCCCGAGGAGCCGCTCGGGGGCGACTACAACGCACACGTCGCGTCTCTGTTCGGTTGAATGTTGCTGGTAAACTTTAGGGTCGGCTGTGCGCACTATGTCGTGAGTGGAAAGCCTTACTGGGCAGTGGGTCTTTGAAAGGCAACATCAAGGGGTGCATGTTGCAATTGTACGACAGGAGCCCGAGTATGTATTCGCGCAAAACCAAGGCTGGAGCGGTGAGCGGTAAGCAGCGAGCAGGATGCCTGAGCGACGCTCTGTGTTTTTGAGGGCCTAAGCAGCGATGCCCACGCTAACCGCCAGGGCAGCTCTGTCCTAGTCGGAGGGCTGTCCAGCAGCCCTGTCCAAACCGCCTTAAACCGCTGCACCCCGTTGGCGTGCCAACACGTTTTTCTGCGGCTGTTCTTGTGGCTGTTCTGCTACCGCGTACATCTTGTTCTGTTTTGTGCTGCAATGTCTTCATGATAGCCTCCAAAATTGGCTCTGGTGTGATGAAACTGTCAACACCGCATGCCTCACCGTTTTTGTTGCATTAGGACCACTTTGTGGTAACTGCTTGCAATCAGGCACAACCATCCCAGCAAATAAAACGCCCGTAACGAGCACTGTGTGTGTCCAATTGGGTACGGCGAGGTATGTCTCTCCTGGGTAGCTGCTAGCACCTGAGGTTTAAGCATCGGCGATTCCACAACATACATTCCGGCGTAACGGCAAAGATGCAGGGCGCAGCTTGAGACGTTCACAGTGCGTTCCGGTTGAACCAAGCACCTGTGCTCCTTGTGCTTTGGCGGGCTGCCGTTGACCCTCTGCCACAGCCTCCTGGATGGTTCGTGGGAATACGTGATTTGGAGTTAGTGGAAACCTTGTCATGACCAGCAGAGTGCGTTGCGCGAAGCGTACCGCCTGACTGCTGCACTTGCGCACCTTCCCCAGGCTGTCACCAGGTTCCCTGCGTGCTCGAGCAGGCGCATATCGACCTGCGACTGCGCTCTTACCCCCGAATACTGTGACACGACCCTCTTGCCACCACCCAGGAGGCTTCCTGCATGCGCGCGAACTCATTCCGCAGATCGCGCGCAGATCAGCAGCGATCTCAGGTGCTGGTATCATCATCAACCACCAGCAACATAGCTGTTATTGTAACATGGAGGACACCGGTTCCGCTGATCGCGGACTCGCTCCGGACCTTGTAACCGAAGGACTGTTCCTTGCAGCCTCGCCGACAGAGCAGTCCCTGCCGGTGCTCCAGAGCGCCGGTATCACGCATGTTCTCCAAGTGAGGCGCAATGTGACCAGCAGGAGGCGGCAGCGGCCGCATGCATTGCGGTCGAGACCAGAGCCTGTCGAGGGGCGCATGCGCACTCAACGTGGCCCTGCCGCCGCAGGCAGGCGCGGAGCTGACACCCACGCACCCGGACAGCTTCAGCTACCTGAACTTGTCCATCTACGACAAGGAGTGGGCCGACCTGGTCGGCTACCTGCCAGAGGCCTGCGCTTTCATCGACTCCGCGATCGCGTCTGGTGAGGCCGGACACGCACATGCGCACGGGAGCTCTTATCCCTCTTCTCACAGCCCCCACTGTGCTGCTTTCATCGGTGCAGTTTTCAACGCGGTCGCCCCTCTGCTGGCGACAATCGCGCGACCCCTCCCCCAGGCGGCCGCGTGCTGGTCCACTGCCAAGCGGGCGTCTCGCGCTCGCCCAGCGTGGTGGTGGCCTATCTCATGACCCGCCGCCAGATGAGCCTCGCGGACGCGCTGGAGCTGACGCGCAAAAGGCGCTGGGGCGTGCTGCCAAACCCTGGTGGGCCGCCGCCGCTTGCTGCGGTGGATGCGGGGGCAGCAGTCCAGCGCGGGCCGCTGTCCGAGGCTGTGGAAACCCGGGCTGCTTGGGAGTCGCTGTCCGCCGCTTCTTGAAATTAATGACTTGATGCATCAGTCTCCCTGATAGTTGCTGCGCCGGAAGCATCTGCTGGCTGGAAACGTATGGCTGTGGCTGCCGTGACGCGTCACCCCCTCCTTTTAACAGTCTGTCCAGCTTCTTTTTTTTGTTTTTGATGCCGAACACACTCAAACACGCACACAATAAAAACCACACTCTCTCTCTCACTCTGTGTCTCCCACACAAGAACACACCCACTCAAGCGCACATAAATCCACACTCACATATCCACAAGCTTTATGCACGCCCCTGGAACCCCCAGGCTTCCTCTGCCAGCTGCTGGAGTACGAGTCGCTGCAGCATGACGTCACCGCCTGGCCCGGCTGGGGCGCGGGCCGCTGGCTCACCCACCCCCTCGCCCCGCGCGCCACGGAGATGTACGACGGCCTCCTGGGGTGGCCGGCGGGCCGCGGGCCGTCGGCGCAGGGCGATGGGGAGGAGGAGGCACGCCTGGACGAGGAGATGGGCAGCGGGGAGGGCGCGGCGCTGGCGCCGGAGCTGCGGCAGGAGCTGGCGCAGCGGCCGTCGGCCGGGGGCAGGGGCTGGGGGCCGTTCGCGGCGGCGGCGGCGGCGGCCGCTGCCGTGGCGGGCGAGAGCAGCGGCGGGGAGGCAGGCACAAGCAGCAGCTTTGAAGGGAAGTTTTAAATTGCAGCGGGTTCCGACCCTGCACTCGTCTGATGCTGGATGCTGCTGCCCTGCTTACAATGGCTTGTACACGCATCACATTTATGAACTGCCAACTTGCTGATTTCATTTTTGGCCGGGGGGGGGGGATCTTGAGAAGAAAGCAATGCTGTGTGCCTCGCTCGCTCAAAATCGATGCCATTCGCCGTTCCATGGGGTCTGCATGGGGTCGCACGCCCTGTTGCGCTCAGACAGACGGGCCTTCATTTTTTACCACCTGTCCAGGTCATGTGCACACTCTAAGAACACGTCTGCACATGCACACATGCGTGTGTATGCTTACATT